TTTTTAGGATGTCGTTACCCGAAAAGGCGGGAATAAAAATTTTACACTGGAGTATTGTAATAAAAATGTACAAACCTAAAGTATCCAAGACACTTCTTCAGTAGATGAACTACATAAAATCAGCTAAACGATTTTCGGACTAAGAAGTCCTCGCGCGGAGTTAAACAAGAAACATTTCATCATATTGCTGCACTAGATAGAACTCTGAAAACGGCACTTGGATATTTGAACGTACTTGCAATAAGAGTCTATATACAAGTGATTGGAATATGATATATTAGATCAATCATTTCTAAGTAGCAGCCAGATGAATGTTATGGATGTTGTTTCAAAGTTCAGGTGTCTAATAGTCTTATGGCCTGTGGGATGAAACTGTCCCTGAGTCTGGTGGTTTTAGTCTGGATGCTTGTGTTGAAAGGTGCTATTTAAATACACTTGCCTTGCCTTTCTAGCCCCCCCCCCTTCATGTCTGGCAGACTCTCCTCTGTTTGCTTCCCTGTCGTTCCCATCCTCTGCTCAGTCGGTCGGTGAGCCGTAGCTTCCAGCGGAGCAGAAACTGTGATTACTGCTCCGCCTCTCTGACCCTTTGATCTCCTGACTCCTCTACAGAGTTTCCTTTGTGCTCAACAGAGCAGATAGTCTGCTGCGTTTCCCCAATAACTGCAAGAAACAACATGTCACGATTAAACTACTAGCATCATCGTTTATTTAAAAAAAAAACACTTCACATTAGGAATCATTTCTGAAGTATGATCACTCTTTGGGTGAGTGGGCACATGCTACTCATGTTGGTTGAACTGTTTCCTGTTGATTGACCTTAGGTTGAAATCAGAAAATATATGATGTGAACAAAAGTGTAAACTTGAACTGCTGCATGGAGAACAAATATTTTGAACATGTACAGCGGTTTGTTGAGGCGTGGTTTCCTTTACTTTAGTTCAATTTGTCTCACAAGTATCTAAGCACAACATTATTGAAGTCCATGCACAAGTAAAGATTCATTAGAACAATTTACGAGTGCAAAAATCCTGATTTGATGAAAAGGGTTTTATGATAACATGCAGTCTTTTTAGCTAATCTGTTTGACATGATCAAACCTGATGGATGCACACTGGGCAGGCTCTCACAGGACGATGCTTCACTTCCAGTTGAATAGATTTGACTTTTCTTTTCATTTGGGGTGTATTTCTCTGGATGCAAACTACTGAAGTGCAAAGCTTTAAAGGTAAGGAGAACATATCGTTTTACTTTCAACTAAACACATGCACAATTCTGAGAGTGCAGGTAGGTTTAATGGATTCTGTTCAGGTTGTCGCTGTGCTTGGTCCTGATTCTTGGCTCGTGTGGTTGCATACTTTACTATGCACTGATCTGAGACCAGTGTTTGTCATTACATCTACACTCTGGTCTCGATTGTCCGACATCCTCCATTTGATTTAGTATTGATTGTCTCTTGCTAAAACTGTTGAATTAGCCGGCTATGTTTGCAAACTGCAGGTCTGATTGTTAGCCGTCAAAGTGTATTCTTTGAAGAATGCTAGAGTGACTAACATACCGTAGGAAAGAAATCACAATCTGTTATAGCAGATTATTAAATGACGGTTTAGACTGAGATCATTAAAACATTTTCAGAACCCTGCTGTTGTTGATGCCTTTTCTTCTTCGCTGCGTCTCTCGGTTTGTGTTTATCTCAGACTATCAAAGAGAGGCAGGAGGTTCACATCTCAGCTTTTGATCAGAACAGATGCTCCTGCTTCACGATTTGTTTCTGCATAATTTACTCAATTATCTCCTGAAAGCCTTCAGGTAAACAGGAAATATTAATCTCATTGAACAAATGGCCATGGCAAACTTTCTCTCTTAACTTGATGATTAATCTGCCCTGTCCTCTGTCTCTGCGTTGTGTTTGTTTGTTTGTTTGTGTGTGTCAGTCTGATAAGCTACACCGACCAGTACATGGACTACGACCAGTTTGTGACGGCTCAGGAACCGGCTAATCCCTGGACCAGCGACGACCCCTCCCTCTGGGAACTGGAGGCCAGGTACAAAACCACCACGTTTTCACTTTCACATCCAATGGACACTTCCCCCTAAATGATAGAAGACTTATTGTTCTCATTATTAGGGTATTAATGTTCAACAAGCTCTTTATTTTTCTCATACTGCCTGTGCTGCAGCACCTCTTTTCACCCTCTGTCTGAAACCAGAGCCCAGTCTGCTCTGATTGGTTAGCTGGCCGGCTCTGTTGTTATTGGTCAGCAGCCGCTTAAAGATGTCCCTCCCCTTAGCCTATCACGTAAAATGGGTTTGAGTGCTGGCCAATATAAGTGTGTGAGTTACATAGTAGATGTAATTATGTTTATTACGTTTTTGGGGTAAAATCTGACCTTTTTTAATTGAAAATTGACATTACTTTGTTTCCTGATCCTGAAATGTTTACTGCAGAGTTGTTTTGTTGAAAGTAGTTTCATTTTGTTTTGTATTTTGTGTGGAGAGGAGCTGCAGCTCTCAACACTTGCACTCTGCTCTGCACTCCCAGCCTGTTCTGAATTATGCAGGAATTAATTAGAGCAGACGTATAATAATTGTGCCTAATGTAGTTTAATAATTCAGACGGGTAGATTAATTGCATGATAGGAGGAAATATATTCCCTGCAGAGATTAAAACAGATTGATTTCAGATGAACGTTGGCATAATGCGCTGCTTTCCCGACACCAATCTCACGTCAACATCAGCACTTAGGTGACTGATATCAAATCAGGTTTTTAAGATGTATTCCTGCCTCTGTTTTCACGTCACTTAGCATTTATTCACAATTCCCTTGTAATTTCTAATCTCTATTCTATCGTGGCCTTCCTGTTGAAGCATCAGGTGGATGTTTATACTCTCTTTTACCTCCCCTCTCTCCCAGTAAGGAGCCCAGTCAGCAGCGGGTGAAGAAGTGGGGGTTCTCTCTGGAGGAGGCGCTGAAGGACCCGGCGGGACAGGAGCTCTTCCTCAAGTTCCTGGAGTCAGAGTTTAGCTCAGAAAACCTGCGGTGAGCAACGGAGATGCTTCAATAATCCTCTTTAATCCCTTTTATGTTATATCTTTTCCATTTCATGAGAACTTTTACAATTCCTATATGAACACATCTTGCGGTGTGCAGCGGTTGTCAACTTTATGTTTAGGGTTGTTGTGGAGAAAGGGAAAGAAAGGGATAGTTTATTCTGCTTTAGGAAAAAAACAGGAAGTACCGTATAGCATCGTTTTATAGAATAACAGCATACAGCAGCTTTTACTGCTCTGAAAGCTTTCCCTTTGACATTTGTTGGTTCCACACCATCATTTCAACCCACTGGCACACAGTAAACATGGGAAGAAACAAATCACAAGAGAAAGATGTTCCGGTTCCCAGAACAAAAGATATGGTATGTACCTTGAACACAATGAGGAAAAACAGACTCTGAGAGACAGAAAAGAGTACGAAAAATGAATCTTGTTGCATTTGAAAGTATAAATACATTTCACATAGTTGTTGCGTACAGATATTACATTTACACCTCATTTAGATATACAGTGTCTACTTTTGTTTTTCGGCTTGAATTCCGCTGTGTGTATTTGTGATGCGAGTGTGAGCTAGAATTAGCACCTCTGAGAGAGAGAGAGAGAGAGAGAGAGAGAGAGAGAGAGAGACTTCTGGGGATAAACTGTGTGAGATAACGTGAAGGTTGTTGATACCCCTGAGCTACAGGGGGAGAAAACACACACACACACACTGATCACCTCTCTCTCTATTGTTCCTGTTTCCAGACGTTTAATTGCTTTTATGAGGGAGCCTTTTGGAGAGCATTACTGAGGGAGAGTGACAAGGGGTGAGAAGTGGAGTGAGAGAGAGAAGCAGACCCCAGAGTGTTTCTCTCTGTATTATTAGGTTATCTCTGGAGCAATCAACAGATCAATATAGATACAAACTCATGCTGAAGGCACTTGAGTGGCTCTCTGCTGCCCCTGCTGGCCAACACGGTGTATTACCTGCTTCCCTCTCTTATACTGGGGACAAGCCTCAGTGAATTATTCAAAGTAAAGGCCTTCAAATGTTAAATGTGGGTATTTGAAGTCCCTCTTTACAGGTTTCTCACCTAATTTAATTAGTCATAGTTACAAATATTATATTACAAGTGTGCCAATATATAAAACCTACAAACTGGTCCTTCAAGTAAAGCTTGTTTTCTTAACGAAGACAAATCAAATGATCTCATTAACNTAGGACTTCCGGACCGCGGGGGTGGACCTAGAAACCGGGGGGTCTAACTTGGTGACCTGATAATCCCATTTGTAAAAGAATCAAACTGATAACACTCGAAGTTTATCATTCCTATTGGTTCCATGCTGATAAAATATTCACCCATGATCCAATTTTAGCTGACACCCACAAGAAAGGAAATTCAAAACCCCCTTAGAAACTATCAGAAAATTAAAAAGAATAAGAAAAGAAAATTACTGACAAAAAATTTTACGGAAACAGACTTACAAGAAGTAAAAAAAAATTTCGTGGAACTTTAACGGAACACAAACTTTCCACGATATCTTTTTATTTGAACGGAAATGATGTTGTTTAGTAAAAGTCCATTTTTTTTAAAATTTCGTTTAACAAAAAACCGGGTACGGGGGGGGAAAAAACGGAAACCTGGTTTTTGGTCTTTTTTTTTCCTTAAAAAAATTTTTTTAACCAATTTTTCGGGTTACAAAAAAAGGGGAAAAATCACAAAAACCCTTTTTTTTTTTTTTTTGCAAAAATGTGTTAGTCTTGAAGGACTTTTTTTTTTTCTTTTCAAAAACAAAAAAAAGAACGGTCAAAAAAGAAAAACAAAAAAAAAACCCCAAAAAGGGGTTGGAAAAAACCTTTTTTTTTTCCCAAACTTTTGGGCCGACCGTTCTTGAACCCAAAAGGGGGGGGTTAAAAAATTTTGAAAAAAAGGAAAACAAAAAAAAAAAACCCAGGGGGCCGGTTTAAACCCCTTGGAAAGAAGCGGTTTTTTTTTTTTTCGTTTTGACGTAAAGTTGAAAAAGAAAAAAACCCCCCGGGGGGAAGCCCGGTTTGGGAGGGGTGTTTGGTTCGTCCTTTTTTTTGGGTGGTTCTTTTTTTCGGGGCTCTTTTTTCCCCGGCCGCTTACTTAAACGGGGTTTGGTTTTTGCCCCAAGGTTTTTCCTTTTCCCTTTCTTTAAAAATAAAGGTGGGAAAACCAAAAAAGGAAAACGGGGGAAAAAAAAAAAACGTTTAATTTTTTGGGTTTTTTACTTTTTAAACGTGAAAACGTCCCCCCTTTCCCAATTTGGGGAAAAGGGCCTTTCCCCTTTAACGGGGTGAAAAAAACGGGGGCAACCGAAAAAAGTCATTAAAGGGGGTCCCTTTTCGGGGTTTTAATTTAGGGTCCTTATTTGTAAAAAGGTTTTTGCCCGAAAGGGGCGTTTTTGCGTTCCGGAAAAAGGGGGGAAAATGGTTAATTTAATTTAAAAAGGTGAGTTTTTTTGTGGGGGAAAAAAAAAACTTTTAAATAAAGGGGGTTTAAAAGGTTTTTCTCTTTTTTTTGGGCAAAATTTTTGCAAAAGTATTTTTTTTTTTAAGGCGGTTTTGGACTTGGGGGAAAAAAAAAAATTTTTTGTCGGGGGGGGGCCCCCCAATATTTTTAAAAAATTTTAAAAAACGTTAAATTCTTTAATTTCCAAAAAAAACCCCCAAAAAACCCCCAAACCCAAACCCCTTTTTATTCTTTTAAATTTTTTTTTTTTTTTCACCCAAAAACCCCAAACCAACCAAAAAAAAAAAAAAAAGAAAAACTTTTTCCCCAACAAACAAAAAAAAACCCCCAAAAAAAATTGGCCTCCAAAACAAACGTTTACCTTTTTCGAATTAAAAAAAAAAAAGTTTTCTTCCCCCAGTTTTCGGGGGGAAGAAACAGAAAACCTCAACCCCCCAAAAAACCCTCGTTCTTTTTTTGGCGGGAAAAAAAAAAAAGGAAAACCCAAGGTTTTAGGTTAAGGTAAAAAAAAAAAAATGTTTTTGCTTTTTTTTCGCGAAACGTTTCAAACCCTTTTTTTTTTCTTTTAATTAAAAAAAGAAAAAAAGGGGGGAGGAAGGAATAAGGGCGAGGGAATTTCTTTAAAAGGGTTTTTCACAAAACCCCCTTTTTTTAAAACTAAAAAAAAAAAAAAATTTTTTAGGGCGGGGGAAGGGGGGGAAAGGTTTTTTCTTTTTTAACAAAAAAAACCACCCCAAAAAAACAAAAAAAAGAAAAAAGGTTTTTTTCCTTTTTTTCTAACTTTCTTCCAAAAAATTTTTCTTTCCAAACAAATACCCCTAAAAACCCCTTTGTACGTTTGCCTTTCATGTGCCTTTTTCCTTTTTTTTTTTTTTTCAAAAAAAAATTTTTAAAAAGAAAAGGGTTTGGCCCCTTTTCTTTAAAAAACAAAAAAAAAAAAAAAAAAAAGGGTTTTCAAAAAATTTTCCCCCGCCCAAACCCCCTTTTTTTTTTTTTTAAAAAACCTTTTCCCAAAAGGAAAAAAAATTTAAGAAAAAAATTTAAAAAAAAACAAAAAAAAAAAAAAAAAAGGGAAAAAATTTTTTTAAGATTTTTTTTTTACCCGGGGTTTCGGGAAAAAATCGGGGGGGGGTTTTTAAATTTTTAAAAAACTCCCCCGGGAAAAACAAAATTAAAAAAAAACCCAACTCCAAAACAAAAATTTAAAGTTTTTTTTTTTTTAAAATGAAGGTTTAACAAAAAAAAATTTTTTTTTCGGTTGGAAAAAATTCTCAAGGCCCCCTTTTTTTTTTAAAAAATTTTTTTTTCAACCCAAAAAAAAAAAAAAGGGGAATTTAAAAAAAAAAAACAAAAACCGAAGCAAAAAAAAAAATTCCCGGTTTTTTTAAAACCCAAAAAAACTAAAAAAAATTTTCTTAACTTTTCTTAAAGAACCAAAACAAAAAAAAAAAAACACCCCCCCCCGCGGGGGGGGGTTTTTTTTAAACGGGGGGGGGGCTTTTTTTCTTTTTTTAAAAGAAGTTTAACTTTTTTGGGTTAATTAAAGGGATAAAAAAAAAAATTTTTACCAAAAAAAAAAAAAAAAATAAACCAAAAAAAAGGGGAAAAGGGAAATTCAAGGGGGGGGGCCCTTTTTTAAAGGGGGAAAAGTTCCAAAAATTGTTTTTAAAAAATTTTTGTAAAATTTTTTAATTTTGCCAAAACGAATTATTTGCCCCAAAAGAAAAAACAAAAAAAAAACCCCGGGTTAAACTTTTGGGGGTTTTTCTTAAACAAAAAAAAAACCGAATAAAGGTTTTTTTTTGGCCGGGCCGTGGTGGACCCCCTTTTAAAACCGGGGCCCCCCCCAAAAAAAATTTTTTTTTTTTTTTTTTAAAATTTCTTTTAATTTTAGGGTTAAAAATTAGGCCAAAAAATAAAACCAAAATTTAAAAAAAGGTTACCCAAAAAAACCAAAAAAAAAAGTCAAATGATTTTTTTTTTTTTCCCAAGGGTTTTTTTTTTCCCTTTTTTTTTTCAAGGGGTTTTTTGGTTTTAAACCCTTTAAAAATTTTTTTTTTTTAATTAAAAAGTAAAAACCTTTTTTTTCCTTGTTAAACCCAAAAAATTTTTGAAAAGATATTAAGCCCCTTTTTTCCGGCGGAAAAAAGTTACCCCCTTTCAATTTTAAACCCCCCCAAAAAAAAAACCCCCTTTATAAATGGTTTTTAAAAAAAAAAAAAAGTTTTTCAAATTAAAAGGGGGCGCCTTTTTAAAAAATTTACAAAAAAAAAAAAAAAAAATAAAGCCCCCCAAAAAAAACTTTTTTCCAAAAAAAATTAAGGCCGTAAAGCAAAGGGTTTTCAACCCAAATTTAGCCAATTAGGGGAACCCAAGTTTTTTTTTTTTTTTTTTTTTAAAAAGGTTTTTTTTGGGCCTTAAATACGTTTTTAGGGTGGATTTCGTCTCGTTTAAACCAAAAAACCCGGGTGGGGGGGCCCCAACCAAAAAATGGTGGCTTTTGCCGGAAAAAGGGGGTGGGGTTTTAATTTTTTCCTTTACCCCAAAACCCAAAAAAAAAAAAAAAAAAAAGCCAAATATCATATTTAGACTTTTTTTTTTTTTTTTTTAATATAATTGTAACGCCATACATGATTGTCACTAAAAGCCTTGTTTCTACATTACAATAACATATAACAAATAATTGATAATTTGAATAGAAATTCAAGTTAGTAGCTATTAAAGGCATAAAAAGACAGAAATGTATAATTCTTTCTTTAATAGAAATGTTTCTTCTGCCCGTAAAGTGTCCAAACCAGGCTTTTCTGGATAAGCGCATTTTTAAAACATAGTCATTGTCCATGCCGGTTTCAGTTGGATTATTTGTCACAGTTGCTCCGATCAGATCGGTCTCCTCCATTTTGTAGATTATTTATGACTTTTGAATCCACATAAACATATCGGCAAAATCCGGTTTACTTTGAGCATGTGTTTCAAACAGTTTAATCCCTTTGTGAATTGTTTCCACTTGCGCCGTCCTTTCATTTCTTCATACAGCGGGAATCCAAATGAATGAATCCTGAGTCCAATAACCATCAAAGTCACTCCAATAGTGCTCCTTAATTACACTTTCATCCTCCTTTAACAAAATACTTCACATTCATCCAGTTTGTGACAGCAGTTGTAGCATTTTTGAGAGTTTTAAACTTTAATTACCGCTGTTGTGTTTGGGGGGGGCAACTTCCAACAGGAGTCATTTGGGGGGGCTCTTGGGAAAAAGGTTGGGAACCCCTGTAGATCCTTTAGGTTTTCGGAAACCTAATAAAACTGGCCTC